GAACATTGGCCCCATCAAAGAAGGAAATTAGGCTGCTTAGCCATGATTTATTCTAGACTATTGTCATTAGGGCTGCAGGGGTGAAAAGTGTGAGGGATACTGTGACTTCTTCGTTTGTCCGTGATGTCATGTTGTAAAGATCGAAGGGAGCAGCCAGGACAAATCTGAATGAGTGGAGATGTGACTTGGATCACAGCACTGCTCAGTCCTATTGAGCCCAGTCACCCTGAGCAGCACTGCATCTTGATGAGCCAGGTTGCAATGTCTGAAATGGGAGAGCTGGGGAAACCTCCTCTGCTGTGAGATGAGTGTAGGGTGGGCTTACACCCCACCCTCACGGCATCTCCTCATCATCAGGTTGGATGCCAGGAGATGTAGTCCATGCCCCGTTGGCAGGGCAAGAACAAGTCAGCAGCTGAAGATGGTGACAACGCTGGTCTATGATTTTAATGAGGTATAGCTGAATTTCATTTGTCACGGCATTTTTATAAAAAACCATGAAACCTTTCACTTTTATTAAATTTACTGTGACTGTTCCATTATTTTTTTATTTAAAAATGCTGGAGTAAATCTGCAGCCTTATTTGTCGTCTTGCTATCTTCCATGAGCTTGCAAATTGGTAGTTTTATCATTTGTTCCAGTATATTTCCAGGAAGCAAAGTTAGGCTGATTGGTCTGTAATTTCCCAGGCCTTCTTTGTTTGCCTTTTAAAAGATAGGCTGCCTTTAAAAGATACAATATTTAACCTTCCCTGGTCCTCTGAAACCTCACTCATCTCCCATGAGTTCTCACAGATAGTTTCTAATGGTTTCAAGATTACTTGTTCTTCAAGTATATGAAGCTGAATTTCATTAGGCCCTGCTAACTATACATTTAACTTATCTACATATAATTTAACCTGAAGACAAGGTAGGTGAGGTGGTATCTCTAAGGGTATGTCTACACTACCACCCTAGTTTATTTAACCTGAAGACAGGGTAGGTGAGGTGGTATCTCAAAGGGTATGTCTACACTACCACCCTAGTTCGAACTAGGGTATGTCTACACTACCACCCTAGTGGAACGAGGAGTACAGGTAGTTCGGAATAGGAAGCCTAGTCCGAACTACCTAGTTCGTGTCGCGTGTAGTCGCGGCGCACGGAGTCCGAACTAGCGGACATTCCAGAAACAGAGAGTCCAGAACTACCAAACTGCTAACCTCTTTGACAGACAGTGGCCAAAGCACCTTGACAGACATAGCACATTGCAATCTTGGTTGCTCTGGTTAGTCTGGGCAAACCAGATTAATTTCCATATAACCTGGACTGAGATAAAATCTGTTTGCCATAAAGGACTAACCTGGCTACAGCTACACTGCACATTATTTAACCAGTTCTTTCCTTATTCTACTTGTGTTCCTTTCCTCTTGCTGTTAAGCATTTGATCACAATTAATTTCAGGAAGACTGAAGAAAAATAGGCATTAAACACCTCAGCCATTTTGGGCTCATCTATTATTAGATATCCTTCCCCACCAGGCAGTGGACTTACACTTTCCTTTGTCTTTCTCTTGCTCCTACTATATTTAAAGAACATCCTTGTCTTGTCCTTTATGTCCCTTCCTAGCTATAACACATTTGTAAGAACATAAGAAAAGTCATTCTGCATCAGACCAATGATCCATCTAGCCCAGTATTCTGTCTTCTGATGGTGGCTGGTGCCAGGTACTTCAGACAAAATGAACAGAACAGGGCAATTTCAAGTGATCCATCCCTTTTCATCCAGTCACAGCTTCTGGTAGTTTTAGTCTTAGGGACACCTGGAGTATGGTATTGCTTCCCTGACCTGCTTGGCTAATACCCATTGATGGACCTATTATCCGTGGACTCATCTCATTCTTTTTGAACCCAGTTAGTCTTTCAGCCTTTGCAGCATCCCATGGCAACGATTTCCACAGGCTAACTGTTGTGTGCAGAAATACTTCCTTTTGTTTGAGTTTTAAACCTGTTGCTTATTCAATTAATTGTGTGACACCTACTTTTTGTGCTATGTGAAGAGGTAAATAACATTTCGCGTTCTTCGTGCCATTCATGATTTTATACAGCTCTATCATATCTCCCTTTAGTTGGCTCTTTTGCCTTTCTGACTTTGTCCCTTCTGGCTTGTGCTATTCCTTTGTTCTCATTCTTAGCAATTTATCCATGTTTCCATTTTTTGTAGGATTCCTTTTTGGTTTTCAGCTCATTAAAGAGATCCTGAGGAAGCCATATCAGCCTCTTACTTTTCTTCATGCTGGGATAGGGTTTTTTGTGCTTTTAATTTTGTGTGTCAGAAAAAGTGCCAGCTCTCTAAAATTCCTTTTCCCTTTCAATTTCCCCCTTCAATGAAGTCCATTTTCCTAATTCTACTGCTCTCACTCCTTCCTTTCCTTAGAATCATGGAATCTAAAATTTCCTGATGACTTTCACCAAAATTGCCTTCCACCTTCAAATTTTCAACCAATTATTTCTTTTAATCTAAATAAAAACTAAAATACCATCTGGTGATGCTTTCATTACCATCTGATCCCTATCATGATGCAATAATTCTTTTTCTCCTTTGCTTTTATCTTTACACTGAGACTTTCAATGATCTGTCTGAAATCTCTTTCTGAATCTCACAAAGGGTACGTCTAGACTGTGAGGGTTTTTCGGGGTTCCAGTATCCTGAAAAAACTACGACACGTCCAGGGAACGCGTTTGCTCTTCTGCTTTTTTTGCGGAAGAGCAGACACGCTCTTTTGGAAGCCCTGTTTTCCTCATTCCACGAAGAAGAAGGTATCTTCTGAAAGAGGTTTTTTTTTTTTCCAAAGTTTGGCCCAGTGAAGACAGGCCAAATTTTGGAAAAGCCTTTTCTGAAAAAACAATCAGAAAAAGGTACGCAAATTGCGACCTGCAAATTTCGGCCCTTTTAAAAAAAAGTTGTAGTGTAGACACAGCTCCTGTGTATACATTTTTTTACATTCATTTTTATACCTCCTCCCTTTTTGCCTTGCCTGTCTTTTTTTCAGCGAACTCTATACCGACATTTCAGTTATAAGATATATCCCATCAAATCTCTGTGATGGCAATTGCAGTGTAATTTTGCTCGTGTACTAAGATTTCCAGTTCCTCTGTTTACTACCCATATTCCTAAACATTTCTTGTTCCCTCAGGTTTGGGGCCATTACTTTGGTAGCTCCTCCTCCACTTCTATTCACTAGATACTTCAAATCTGTCCTCTCTACTTCCCTTATAATTAACAGCAATTAGCTGCCTACAGTTTCCTCACTGTTTCTCCTGCACTCACTTTAGAATGTTGCAAGCAGTTCTACATCCAAAGCCTCTAACAACCAATCCATTTTGTTTTCTGACACAGCTTCCAGAAACTTCTTGGTTCATGACTGCTGTAGTTATACAGTCACACTCAGAAAATGCAGTGGTATTTTGCCTTCTCCCACTCCCCGCCATACATATACATCTTGAACATCTTATTCTTTTGTGGGTCTTTACTTACTCTTTTGCTTGTGCAATCGTGCTAATGTGGTTACCTGTTCACTTTCTGCACCAAAACGTGGCCAAAAAGTACAGATGTGCTATCTCAGATTTTGTCAATACCCAAAAGTTGTACCAGCTTAACTATATTGGTATAAAGTGATATAACATTCCCATGTGTGGGATGCAGCTATGCTGTATAAAAGTCTTTTAAATTGGTACAGCTATTTCCAAATGGGAAAGGGGATAATCATTGCAGAATAAGGTATCTTTATATCTTTCATTGCATTCACTATATGGATTCCACCAGATTAACTATTTTGGTAAAAAAAAATAAATCACACCATTATCTGAAATAACTATACTACTACAAAATCTGTCCTACCACCTTCTTATTATAGGTACAACATTTCCACTCCATTCCTCATCTGTGCTCAGCTAGACTTCACTATGGCACTTGGAAAATTAGTTGGTAAATACAATACCCTGCTCTGTGAGGTAAGCTGAACTCTGCCGGTCTATGGGGAGGAAGGAGATATAGGGCAGGTATAGGAGAGGCTGGTGCACACTGGCTTCCCTCTGCTGTTATGAAGAATCCTCCCAGACGATAACACAGCCAGGGCTAATACTGTTCAAGGGCTGCAGAACACCATTTAAAATGAGTGAGGGGCGCAGATATGCCTCATCATCATCCATGCCTGCCGATGGGAGGCGGGGGGAGAAGGGGGGCAGTTGTCCTGGGGCATAGTGATTCAAAGGAGCTTGGGGCTCCTGGCCACCACCTGCTACTGTGGCAGTGATGGTGGCTGGAGCACTAGGCCCTTTAAATTGCCACAGAATGCCACGCCCCATGCTCCAGGTGGCTCTAAGGACTGGGCGGACCAGTGTGGTGCACTCTGGATGGTGCAGAAGGCTGGCTGCCCTGGCCATGCCCTTTATGCCTGAGGCCCCACTCCTTCCAGGAGCATAAAATCAGTCCCCCCCCACACCTTGCCAAGGGGCCCGTGGAGGCTGTCAGCATCCCTGCCATTACCTGACGCATCTCTTCCCCATGAGATGCGTGTCCATTCCAGCTACAGCCTGTCCTCCCTGGCCTATGAGTGTTACATCCACTTCCCCCGCCATTTAAGAATTGTGTGTGTGGTGATGCAACATGGCACAAGGAGCCAAAGCACAGCTCAGATCTGACCCAGTCCAGAAGAGTTCAGATGATAGAGTGGATAGCCACTGCAGATCCACAGCCTTTGTTGTATTCTCTGAAGAGCCCCCCACTGTCCAAGAGGTAGACACAGGAGCACTGGTGCTTAGGACTGGAGGCCTATTGGATGCCAAAGCTGCTGCAGAGGTGCAGAGCCTCCATGTAGATGGTCTTGGCATCCCACAAATCCAGGGGAACTCCCATTTAGTGAACAGGCCCTGAGGCCAATTCTTTGAGAGGACAGCTCTGTAGCCCCTGACAAGGAAGCTCTGTGGAGAACTCGGGGAATGGGATGATTGTTGTGGTTTCCCTGCTGCATTTCTTTCCACACGAGAGGTTGATCTGAGCCAGTATGTTTTATTTTCAATTTTCTTTCTAGTGTGACATCACTTGATTTAATAATTTGGTTCATCTCCCAGGTCATATCACCAGACAGCAAGAGGATACATAATTAATCATTTCTTTTACAGACCCTACAGTCCCCACCACCATCTCCACTCTCTTCAATACACATCATGCTGATATACAGTCTCAAATAGGTTTTACTTCAGTGAGTAATATTTACCTAATCACTAACTGGCCTATTCACCCTTTAATGAATCAGAAAGGGGAGGGGGGGAGTATTTATTTGTCTCTTTTTTATCAGATTTCCCAGTTTCTCAATCACCCCCTGAGATAGGTATGGAGGACTGTTCTCTTGAAATGTCAAGCTTCTATGGTTAATTAAGTACCCTGCTTTCCTTTCCTTACAATAATGACTTTAAACAACAGCTGCAAATCCCACCGTTCATTGAGACGTTCCTGTAAGTGCAATGTGTTGTCAATGAAAACAGAAATAATTAAAATTTACACTCATTTTTTCAGTGCTCAAACAATCGAGGCTCAGGTTCATTTCAGGCAGAAGTTCAAGCCAGTTCTTCTTTTATTCAGTAAGTTCATTCAGCTTCAGAAGTGGGGACCTGAGACAACAGCCTGGCTCATGTAAGTGATAAACAGGTCAGAAAGCAGTCGACTGGCTAGACTGGAGGAGCAAACAGACAGAGAGAGGCAAATTATGTCCCTGCATCCTTTGCACATATCACATGTAATAGGCACTTTTACACAAAGAACACATCCACCAAATGGAACTTTCAGAGTTTTCTTCCCCCCAGGACCAACTCTACAAAATTTTCTGTGGCAGGAGGTAAAATTCTCTGGGTTTAGATGGAGCATAATGTCTTAGCTGATTTTTCTTTACATTCTTTAATTTGTGCTCCTAAAAAGCCACAAGTCTCTTCATTGTATACACAAACATTGATCTGAGTCAGGCTTCCAATGGGATAAATATAATCACTACATTTCCTTTTTTTCTTTCACACTAATCAAATTAAGTAAGGGCTTATACCCACAAAAAAGGTACACTCCTTTAATGACATTAGTTCAGTTAAAGTGGCACAACCCATTTAGTATGGATACAGTTATATTGGTAGAAAGGAGCTTTTATATCAGTATATCTATTCCTCTATGGGAATGGAAATAAGATATACTGGTGTAAGGCACCTCTATACCAATATAAATCCACACTACAGATTGTACAGTATAACTATTTTGATTTTAAAATAAATCATACTGCTGTTTTAAATAGTTATGCTGTTATAAAAGGTGTGCCTAGACCAGGCCTAAGGGTTTTCAGAATACACCTCATTCACAGTAAAGCTTTCACAATAGGGTTAAATGAGTTACCAAGAGTATTATGAGATGGAGCCATGTTTCATCTTTCCCTCACTTCCTATTTTAATAAAGGAGCTGAATATTTAAAAAAATACTGGGAAAGGGTACAACTAAATCAAGGGAAATCTTTTTAGTAAATTTACGATTTCCTGCACCTCAGGAAATTATTAAAATTATAATTCCCTTTCTGGATTTGAAGACCTAATCAATATTTAACAACAGTCACTAATGATTTTGGATGCCTTGGTTTTTTGGTTGCCCAATCTGAGACAAGTTCATGAGGCTTGTGTGATGGGCTGGATCACAGAAATCCCCTTGAGACTGTCTCTTGAGGTGTTGCTTACATCTGTGAGCCCACCTACTTGTCTTCCGGGGTGCCCCACCACCTGGTCCTGCTGAGCCAGAAGCTCTGGTCTCCCCCAGCAAAGGCCCAGCCCCCTCAGCAGAGCAACATAGACACTGAGGGTACGTCTAGACTACAAGCTTTTGTCGACAGAGGCTTTATCAACAGATACTGTTGACAAAGCTTCTGTTGACAAAGAGCATCTAGACTATATCCAGTTCTGTCGACAAAACAAGTTGCTTTGTCAACATGAGAGTGTAGATGCAAAGGACAGTGTAGATGCAATAACACCTTCTACGAGGTGTTATTCCTCGTAGAATGAGGTTTACCACCATCGACAATGCCGAGTTCTGTTGACGTTGTGTCGACAGAACTCGGCGGTACTGTAGATGCAGGTATAGTTTTGTTGACAAAAGGCCACTTTTGTCGACAAAACCCTGTAGTATAGACACACCCAGACTGATAACAGCTCATGTTTGGGAGAACTCAGTTACAGGAACTTGTCAACTCCCCGGGCCACTGCCTCAAATAGGACTAAAGCCCCAAATAAATCCATCTCATAAAGTTAATAAATCTCATAAAGTTCGCTCTCTTTAGCAATGAAAGAGAGAGATGCACAATGGTTGTTGCCCAGATAACAATTACTTACACTGGGTTTGATAATAAATGAAATTGATTCTATTAAGTATAAAAATTAGGATTTAAGTGATTGCAAGTGAAAACAGACAGATCAAAGTAAGTCAGTAAGCAAAAATAAACAAAACACACCAGTTAAGCCGAATATGCTAAGATAAGTTGTTACAAATTATATTTCCCACCCCATGAGTTTTTATTTCTGGTGTAGTTCTTCACAAGCCAGAACTGATCTTTTTCTCTGACCTGGCCCCAGCAATGCTCCTCCACCCCTTTTGTTACAGTTCTTTTTTCCAGGAGTTCCTGTGTATCCACTTAGGCCTGGTCTACTAGACTAGGAAGGTCAGCTTAAGCTGCTGCAAAAAGCCAAGCCTTGGTGGTGTCTACACCGTGGGAGGCTGACGGGAGCAATCGCTCCCAATAATTTCCCTTACTCCTCGCAAAAAAGGTGTAGCGGACACCAGTGGGAGCTGCCCTCAGCATTCAGTTTAAGGGTCTATACTAGACCCACTAAATCGAACACCAGAAGATCAACCTCCAGAGTGTCTATCTCCCAGTAAGTATGGATATGCCCTTAGGGTGGGGAAACAGTTTAAAAAACGAGTTGAAGACAATCATGCTTTGCTTTCCGCCTCTTAGAGTTTCCCCATGGCAGGAGTCCTTTGTTCAATTCTACCCCTCTCCTGGAAAAATACCAAATTCAAGATGGATAACAGAACCAGGCGGCATGATCACATGTCTTTGTAGGACCAACCACAGTTTAGGCTTACAGGAAAAATTAAACCATTCACAGATCATTGTTTTGAGCTCCTGACCTTTAAGCTCTTTAAAGGCTCTGAATGGCTTTTACTCAAAGACCTAGATAAATAAAACAGGTTTCTATTTATTATTTTTAACTTCACATACAAGAATGATACATGCACAGAAATAGAATATACACGACAGATTATTTGCCCCCATTTTGCAAAAGCATCTTCAAAGTATGCATATTCATATTAAAAATATATTTCCATAAAAATATGGGGAAACAGAGTCACAGCTTGATTTTTAGAAAATGCTAATTACCTAGGCTATGTCTAGACTGGCATGATTTTCCGCAAATGCTTTTAACGGAAAAGTTTTCCCATTAAAAGCATTTGTGGAAAAGAGCGTCTAGATTGGCACGGACACTTTTGCGCAAAAGCACTTTTTGCGGAAAAGCGTCCGTGCCAATCTAGACGTGGTTTTGCGCAAGAAAGCCCCGATTGCCATTTTTGCCATCGGGGCTTTTTTGCACAAAACGGTTCTCAGCTGTCTGCACTGGCCCTCTTGCGCAAATGCTTTTGCGCAAGAGGGCTTTTTCCCGAATGGGAGAGTCATTGTATTTGCGGAAGAACACTGACAATCTTACATTAGATCGTCAGTGTTCTTGCACAAATTCAAAGCGGCCAGTGTAGACAGCTGGTGAGTTTTTCCACAAAAGCGACCGCTTTTGCGGAAAAACTTGCCAGTCTAGACACAGCCCTACTGTCTGAAAATACTAGTTTAAGATGTCTTAAATTGTGCACCCACAGTCACTTGAATTGCAAAAGTTAAGCCAAAATCTTTCATCATAATCAGCTCCTAAAATGTGTTTATGAGCCAGGAGAAGTCTCTTTGCTTTTGAAACTTTGTTGATTCTCAATCCAGTTAGCAGAAAATAATTTCTTAAAGATACAATATACTATTGTCATATACACTAAGGCTTTATTATCCACAAAGATAAACATATTAATATATGGGATACACAGATTAAAAACCCCATTATTAGATATGCAATGGATTTTATGAAGAAAAGCAATCTCTTTTTTAATTCAGAAAAGCAACTATACATTTATGTAGCTATGAATTTGATTCCATTCAGAATATATTTGATTTGGCTTCCAATAAATGTTGGTATAATTGTGTTAATATTGGTATCTTTTTACATATTAATGGAGCTTTATTATAATTTATCATGTGGCCTCTCCTGTATAAAGAATTACCCAAATTCAACTCCCTTGAGATATATTCTTCCTTTTAATTAGAAGTTTCAGCTGAAAAAACGTAACAGGAGGACAATTATTGTATAGGCTACAATGTTGCCTCCTGTGTTAAAAGTTGCAAGAGGGACTTTCGGTGAAGAAATCTCCATAAAGATGATTCCCTCCCATTGCGTAGATGGGAAAATCATTGATAATTGTGAAGCAATAATGAACACTCTCCTCTCTGAAATAAACCACAATAATTAAAGGGAGAAAGTCCAGGATTGAAGTATTTTAGAAATGTATCTATCCTGTCAATGCTGTGTTATTTTTCATTATCTTTGAACTCGTTCATATGAGGTCCAATTCTTACCAAACATGTGGTGATACATAAAGTGGGGGACTGTAGATTCTTTGTTTTGTATGTGACATTGCTAGAGAGAAAAAGAGAATGTTACTTACATGGCACCTTATTGTATTACAACATAGAAAAGATACTTCTGTCCAATTTCCTTTTGGAGTCCATTTGTTGTGTAATGTGAACATTTTGAGACCTGGTTATTTTTCTATATTTGGAAAAAACAGAAATCCTCCCATCCTTTTTAAACCCTTGAGACATTTTCTGCAGTGCAGTCACGGCGTACACATAAGATGCTTGTGCTGACTTACAGTAACATGCAGTAGGAAGCATCTGTATGGAAAATAAAACAATGTACTTCTTCCAAGGATACAAGATCTGCAAGAATCAATACATTGTGCTAAAACCAGAGAATTTGTTTCATGTATTTGATTCACTGGTTACAGCTGAAAGACATGAGTAAATGCCACCTTCTCAGTAAAATAGAAAAATCCTGTCTAAGACATATTGATTGCATGTTTTAGGGGTTTGTTAAATGCTTCAGAAAGAATAGCATGTATTTAATTAAAAGGCATCCACTTGCTACAGAATACGTTTGCTACTTTTAAAGACAGGATTTAATGAAGACTTTTAAAACAGTCTGATGTTATTAGGTGAAGAATTCTTTCATTCCCATGCCTAAGATTTCATTCAGAGCCTTTGTTTTCTGCATGCTAGAATCAGTTCTTTGTCCAGCAGCCATGCACGTGCTATGACAATAAATAGGATATTACCTGGAACTGAGAAAATCTTCCCCCTTTCCGGTATTTTCATTTCTAGCTCTCCACCTCCAAAACAGGAAACAGGGCTATGAAGATCACTATTAAAAATATGCTGAACAATAATGTATTGCAGTACTAGCCAGATGCAGAAGGTGCCATACATGCTGTAACAGCTGCAGAATGTCAGTGATCTGAGCTGTACAGTGGACTCTCTCTCCTTAAAACACAACGTTTGCAAGGATCACCCCCCCTGTACACCTTACAGTGGATGCACTGGCAACACACAGCCTGTTCTTCACAAAAATAATCTGGGTTTTTAGAGGTCCTAGCCTGAGGAGCTTGCAGACATGCAGGAGTCTTAGTAACTCATAGTCACTGACCATTTTATCTCACTGTGACAGGGGTGAGCCATCCCTTTTAAGGGTAATAGAGAGCAAGAGAATGGCTACATTACCAGGAAGATTGACACTATGTTGGTTGAACTTTCAGCATTCAATTAAACAGGTCTAGTGGAGACCTGATAAATTGACTGCTGAGGGTGCCTCCATGGATGCTGGCATTCCTCACTGTCATGAGGAGTAAGGCAAGTTGATGGAAGAATTTCTCCCATTGACCTCCTGCAGTGAGGACAGTGCCCAAGCTCAGCTTAAGGTACATCGACTACAACTATGTTATTTACATAGCTGGAGTTGTGTACCCTAAGCCAACCTTCCACCATAGTATAGACCTGTCCTAAGGGTCAGCCAACTCTTGTGTGGTATATTGTACCAGATCCCTATTCTTAAGTAATATCTTTGATGGCCATGGGTAGTCAGGACTTTGGTTTTATGTCTTCCAGAAGCAGAGTGTGCAGGAGCTGAATGCTTTACCTTTCTTTTTTGCCTTTCACTCCTTAGCTAGCATTATTTCCTTTGGTTTTTGAATGCTTGTATTCCTTGGTGGTTGGCCTATGCATAGTCCTTCCGATCTCCCCTCTCTTCTATTTCCAATTAAATTTTCAATTCTTTCAAATCTACCTCCTTTCAGCAAGAATTTCTAAAACATTTCTTTCTATTTTTATTTTGTGTTGAATTTTTTCTGTACATTATTTTTACCCCATGGGCTTCCAGTATTGTTTTATAAACTCTCCCATCCTGCCCATCTTCTACTCTAGCAAGAGCTGTAGCCTATATGGTGTATTATATCAATGCATTACACATAGAATAATGTCATGAAAAAGTCACTATTTTTGCAGTCTCTGATTTTCATAACTTGACAGCAAAGCTCTTTTAAAAAAAATTAATATTTTAATTTTAAAGATGACTTCTAATTTAAAATAAAATACAAACAAAACCACACCCAACTGAGTTCAGTAAAATTGAAACAAAAATGCTGGAGCCAAAACTTGCAGGATGAATAATTTCCAAGCTGAAATATGTATCTTTACCTGTTATACCACCCAGAAAGCAGTATACAGTAAAACTCCGATGGTCCAGCATCTGATGGTCCGGCACTCCTGATGGTCCGGCACCATCAGGAACCCGGAAGTGCTCCGCAGCCAGACCATTGGAGCTGCTCTGCCCCCAGCTTCCCTGATTCAGCCACTGCTAAAACTGACCAGGGCTGAATTGGGGAAGCCGGAGGCAGAGCAGCTGGGGCGCTGCCAGGTAGGTCCCCTAGCGCTGCCTCTTGGGGCTGCGGGACCAACCCGGCAGCACCCCAGCTGTCCCCAATTCAGCTGCTGCTGAAACTGACCGGCAGCTGACTCCAGGAAGCCCGAGGCAGAGCAGCTCTGCTCCGGCTTCCTGGAATCAGCCCCTGATCAGTTTTCGCAGCAGCTGACTTGGGTACACCTGGGACAGAGCAGCTGGGGGGGTG